TTCCTTCCACTTCAAAGAGGGATACCTTCCAGACCATTAGAACTCTTTGGAGGATTTTTTCTAAAGATTAGAGAACAGCACCTGGGGCTACCTGCTGGGAGCAAAAGCAAACAAACAAAAAAAAAAGTATAGTGGCTTGCAGAGGGTAGAGAGGTGAAAGCACTAAAAAGAAACACCTGGAATCACCTATGAAAAGGAAGAGGAACTACAGAGGGATTCATAGCACTACAGCCACCAAGCCCAGAACGCGGCTGGAGAGAATACGGGAAGCATGCAGGCTGGGTCCACCAAAAAATTCATGTTATCTAATTATATTAACTGTATGATTCTGGGCAAATCACTTAACCTTTCAGTGCCCCAGGTCACCTCTTTAAGCTGTAAAGTAGCTACTTATCTGCATTGGTAAAAGGAGTTGCCTCCTTTAGAAGTTCCCTGAAATCACAGAACCAACCCTAAATCGAATCTCACCTTCACCATTGATGCTACACAGCAGTTCTTTAGTCCTTTCCAAATGACTCTATGATGCTTCCATAACAGCTATTCCAAATCTGTTTCATCTCTCTTCAATCCCCCAATGCTACTTCCATACCTTTGTGTATGAATAACTTTGCTTTCTACTTTACTCAGAAAATTGAAATCATCCATTGTGAGATCCCCTCTCTTATTCTCCCCTGTACACATTTCAAAACATCTCTACATCTCCAGCTCTCCTTTCCTCAGTTTCTCTATTCCTCTCTATACTTGATCTCGTCTTCTCTAATTTTCTCCAGGAGCCTGCCCCATAAGTCAGCTTTTCTCTCACTCTGCTGTATGACTGGATGTTCCATGTAATTGGGAAAACAATTTTAAGGTGAAAAAAAAAAAGATTCTAACCCATAAACTGCATTGTCCATATCACCTATAAGTCTTGGGCAAGACAGAAAGAATAAATGGTATATGAAAATGAAACTTTCTTTTAGATAAGTTACTGGTACCCTGGTCTGATGTTCCTTCCATAGCACTAATGATTATAAGATTAACACCATACAACTTTTACCACGTGAAATAATTACTCAAAGGCTAATGTGATTAGGTTTTATCAGGTCTTGTTAAAATACACTAAGTCCTATCACTAGTAGGGAATGATTACAAGGGGCAATTCATGACTTAGAACCTGGCAAGGGACCTACTTTATACACACACACACACACACACACACACACCCCTCTGCAAATCTGCCCTATAAACAAGGTAGAAAGGCCCATCTCAGTATAAGTGGACAAATCTGGATGATCTGTGAACAGTGATCTAGAACAGATCTCTTTTAACTCAGCATTACAAGGAAAATGTTTCCCAGAAGCAGACTACTTCGTGAAATAGACAGCTAAATTCAAGGCAATGGAACAAGAAAATTTCCTGAATGGATATTAAGATGCTTGCCCTGTTTCCTTTTTTTTTTTTTTTTTTGGTCTTCCTGGTTATATTTACCATTTGTAAAGGTGCCTAGGCATCAGATTTAAGATAAAATTGGACATTTAAACCCAGGTCCTCCTTGTTCTAGTTCCATGTAAAATTACTGGTAATAAGGCCCCACAGAAAAATATCACCCTTGAAATCCAGGTCCCCACTTCTAAGTGTGGATATTTTTGCCAAACTACTATCCAAACAATAGCTACAGAAAACAATATACAACTATATTACTATAATATACAACAGGGAGGTAAAAGCTGTCACTGGCTCTCAAGTAAAAATATTGAGCATTAAGGAAACTTGTAGAATTCCAGAGAAAGTAGAGCAACTTACAGATTTAATAGGCCATATAACCAGTCTCCCATCTCCACCCCTTTTGATATATCAGAAGTATCATTAAATCCGAACTACTCCATGTCTATATTCGTTAAGTTTTTCTTTGTGCTGGTGCAGAGGTCTTTAGACTTCATGCTATGAATCTTATATGCTATAGGAGTTAACATATGCTATAAATATTATTATCATCTGTTGAGCAAGGATGGATTTGCTTTCTCTACATATTCCAGCAAGGAGGAGAAGGGGATCTGCCTAAAGAGTTCAACATGAATGCAAAATGGAACCCACTGGAAAACTCATCTTTTCAAAAGACTTATTTCGAAGATGGAAATAATATTGTCCAGCAATGCTTCTGCTATCCTCTATTTGGAAAAGTGGGTTTCCCAGTTTCATGGAGTCCACAAATGTGATAAGTATATCATTTATGCCTTCATTGAGGTCATTGATAAAAATCTTGAACAAACTGCAATCAAAAACAGATCCCAGGAAGATTTGTACAGACGAATGCAAAGTGAGCAGAACCAGGAGAACAATGTATTCTATGACATCAGTGTAAAATGACCAATTTTGAAAGCCTTAAGCACTCTGATCAATACAATCAAACCTGATTCCAGAGGACCCGAGATAAACACTACTCCCTGCCTCCTGACAGAGAGAAGATTGACTAATGCAGAATGAAACTAAGGTCAATATAGGGATTTGTTTGCTTGACTGTTTTTTATTACAAGAGTTTTGTTTTTCTTTTTTTTTTTCCAGTGCTGAGGGTGTAGAAAAGGGAAAAATTAATGTTTAGCAACTGAAAAAAAATAAAACTTAAATAATAAAATAAAAATAAAAAGCTCTACTAGAGCTTCCCCTTTACATTGATACCCTGCTACCTAAAAAAAAAAAAAAAGAAAAAAAACATTTCAAAACATTGTGAATCTGAGCAAATCAAGTAACTCATGCAATGGTTTGTACAATTTGTTGACTAGCTGCCTCACTTTTCTCTCTGGAACATGCTTTCATAGGGTACATAGCTTTAGAGCTAGAAGGGAATTTGGAAGATATCTAGTCCTCATTTTACAGATGAAAAACTAAGGAACAGAGAAGTTAAATAATTTGCCCAGGCTCATTTACAGTTAGTAAATTGTAGGTGGGATGTGATCCTCAGTCTTCTTAATCCTAAGTCCAATATTATATCCATTGTGCCATGCTGCTCAGTGTCTGAGGCCAGATTTGAACCCAGGTGACTCCAGGCCTGGCACTGTATCCGCTGTGCCACCTAGATGCCCTATACTTAAAATGTAGACCTCAACCAAATATATAATGTAATAATAATTATAATGTATATAATTATATATAAAGGTAGATAGATATAAATATATCTATATCTAGACATATACACATACATATACATATGTATATACAGAGTTAAGGATGACACTGAGCTTCCCAAGGGACCTCAGCACCAGAAGGGACCTCAGTGTCCATCCCATCCACACAAGCCCTAGCAAATGATTCCCATCTCAGATGAGAAGTTATAGAGTCACTCCTTGAAGATACTAAATGAAGGGCATCTGCAACCTCCTAAGGTAACCCATTCCTCTTTTGGACCACTCATCATTAAGTTCTTTATTATATAGAAACAAAATCTGCTACTCTACAGCATCTTGGCCCTCAAAAAAAGGTCTTCTACATAACAGCCCTTGAACTACTTGAATTTGCATTTTAAACCACCTATGAGATTACTAATGCAAGTATTATTATCCCTGTTTTTACAAATGAAGAAACAGACTCATATACACATACTATTTACATAATACATATAAAACCATATATTTGAAAAGAAATGGACTAAGGAGCACAGGCATCCTGCCAGAGTTGACTCAGTACGTGCTTCAAACTCCCTGGCCTAGGAGAGCCACCAAAATAATCAGTTAACCACTCATCAAGCATTTATTAAGTCCTTAATGTGTGCCAGGCACTGTGCCAAGTCCTGGGAGAACAAACAGTCCCTGCCCTCCAGAAGGTTACATTCTAATGAGGTAAACAATACGTACACAGTAAGTATATATAAGACATATACAGAAGAAGATGCAAAGTAGCTAACCTTGGATTGGAAAATCTTAGCCATAAAGAAGACCAAGAAAGGCTAGTATTTGAATTGAATCTTGAAGGAAGTCAGAGATTCTAAAAGGCCATGAATATTGCTCTTTCCAGGCATGGGGAACAGCCAGCTAGTGCACAAAGACAGAAATGAAAATGTGAAGTGCAAAGAACAGCAAGGAGGCCAGTATGGTTTTATCAGAGTACATGGAGGGCAGTAAAGTTTATAAGATGTAAAGGTAAGGAGGGGCCAGGGTGTGAACAGCTTTAAAGGCCAAACAGATGGCTGCATTGTTGATCCTACAGATAATAGGGAGGTACTGGAGTTTATTGAGTAGGAGGACAAATGAAATGGTCAGATCTACGATGGTGAGGAAAACCACTTTGGCAGCTTTGTGGAGAATGAATTGGAATAAGGAAAGAGTTGAGGGAAGAAGCCCAATTTCAAGACTATTGCAATCATTCAGGCAAAAGTAATGAGGGCCTGAACTAGGGGTGGTGTCTTAGCATGAGGAGAGAAGGTGACCCATACAAGAGATGTTGAAAAGCAACAACACTTAACAATGATTAAACACATTGGGTCACTGAGAATGAAGAGTGTTTATATGTGTGTGTGTGTGTGTGTGTGTGTGTGTGTGTGTATAATATACATACATACACACGCACATACACACATGTGTATGTGTATGTGTATATAGTTGGGCTCAACATTTATGGGGCCAGGCCTGACTACAACCCTCCCTCTATTCTTTCTGACTGACTGACCATTAGTACCTCAGGTCTATGGATCCAGTCGGGATGTGAGTGGATTCAAATGAATCCTGGTGCCCTGAACAGCCAGGTATTAGGATGTTCTGCCTTGTTAAGGTGAGGAGGCTCAGAAATCTGTGACTATGCAACAAAGAGTGCTGTATTTTTCCCTGGTAAGTCTCCAGGTACTTTATATGGATCAAAGTTCAAAATCTGGCCCAGCTAACCGCCTTCTAGGTAAACATTAATTTACTAAACTAGCCAAATAATTTTTGATTACATCATACTCTCTTTCTGCAGCTTTGCATTTAAAAGCTGCTCCCAAAACATTCTCAGGAGAGCATGTCCCATAGAGCTCCCTGAGAAAGTCCTTACCTCATGGCTCTACTGAAAAAGTGCTTCCTCTCTGCGTTGGGACTCTTGTTGGCGTACTATTTCTACCCAGCCACTGATAGCTTCAGACCTGGTAAGTCCCAGAGGTGACTAGGACATGTGGGCAAAGGCAGGGTTCCTACTAGGTTGGTTCCTAAGTTCTGCAGAGGCTGGGACAGGGAAGTCTGAGAGGATGGGCAACAGTGAAATTGTTATGGTGGACATGTGCCCACAAGCTAGGGGCAGAATGAGGAGCAAAAGTGGTAAAAGATTTAAGTACTGGGCTTAGGGTTACCTCCCAGGCCTCCATTGAGAGCAGTGTAAAAGCATCAAAGAGAAGTGGAAATGACTCCCCAAAAGTAAAGCTGGGGACACACATGGGGACACTTGCTTTGTTTTTTTTTAACTTTACAAAGCCTAAAACTTTTCTCTTTTTTTACTTTTAACCTATATTTTTATTTTAAGCTCCAAATTTTCCCTTTCCCTCCATCCCCTCCCCTAATCATTGAGAAGGCAAGACATATGCTACCATATATATATATATATATATATATATATATATATATATATATATATATATATATATATATGCATATGTGTGTCTGTGTGTCTGTGTATACACAGTCATTCAAAACATACCTCCAAATTAGCCAGTGACTAAAGCCAGTGGTATTAGGGGTAGGAAAGTATGAGGTCTCAGGACTTCAGCTTGCAAGGTGGGCAAGAAGCAATGTCTTAGAACACTGGGAAAACTTTCTTTGGGTTAGCAAAGGAGAAAGAACCCAACCACAGATAGTTACTATGGGGATGGAGATTGCAACCAAAAAAATTAACATGATTTTCAGATTCCTCTGAACCTTGCCATCTTTGGGTTGAAAACCAACTTTGGACATCCTACATAAACATGCTTTCAGAGCTGCCAGTGGAATACTTTGTATCCTGGGAGACCACCAAATTTAGCTCATTTTAAAAGATGTCAAGAATTGATTGAGAGGATTCTGTCACAAAAGTCAAGGAGCCAGCCACTCTCTTCCCTATAGTCTTTGCTGAAAGAGGGTTAGAAGGTATATTCTCCTGAAAAGTTCCAGGTAAGGCCTTACAAGTTGGATGGAGACTTGGCGGGGAGAAGGGAACAGAGCCAGCAGTGGCTCAGCAGTGACTGATGCACAGACATAAAGAAGTCACAGAGTCAGAGAGGATCCTAGGAAGATGGCAGAGTAGGTCAGAAAACTTTCAACTCTCCAAATTTCCTCCACAGAAAAAGATAAAACATTGCCTCACAGCAGCAGAAATAAACACGGAGTAAAGCAGTTGTCCTCCTGAGACAGGCCTGCACAACCTGCCCCCTGCCAAAGAATTTTGGGAAGCTTATGAAAACTGTAGAGGAAAACATCCTTTACACTTTTCTGGGCTGCCAGAAATCCTTTGGTGTGTAGCCTGTAGGCCACAAGTTGTGCAGGTCTGTCCTAAAACAATTTGAGAAGCCTCCAGGAAAGACTCCACCTCCAGGAGCAGAGGTTCCACCTGAGTGGAATGCAAATACCTCCAGGTCACCAATCCTGCAGAATCCACAAACAACAAGCCATGTGAGCACCTGGGTTAAGAGGCAGCCTCAGTGGGGCAGCTAGGTGGCACAGTGGAGAGAGCACCAGCCCTGAAGTCAGGAGGACCTGAGTTCCAATCTGACCTCAGACCAAACCCTGACACTTACTAGCTGTATAACCCTGGGCAAGTCACTTAACCCCAACTGCCTCTAAAAATAAAAAAGAGAGGCAGCCTCAGCCTTAGAAACTTGCATTTTGCAGACAATTTGGGGGTCTGACCCCTGAGTACAAGAAGATTGAAGAACCTTCCACTGTTGAGGGATGCCAAGCACAACTGTGCTAACCAGATGTTTCCCAGGCTGTGACTGTGAGAAGAAGCTAGCATACACCTGGTGACTGCAATAGCAAAAGCACAGGGACACTGCTGGCTGTGGCCCCTTGCAGGAGAGCAAAGTTCCTGGTTTCAGTTCCAGAGCAGAAAGTACAACTGTAGTTTACAGCCACCAGAGGGACAACAGGGAGCAAGTTCATTTTGGGGACAGTGTGGCAGGGTCCACACCTATGGCTTAGGAGTGGACTGGAGAGCCCAAGGCTGGGCCCCAAGACAGACCAGAGATAACAGTAAGAAGGACCTGAAATGGGGTGGGGGGGGATCATTCCCCATATCTTGTGACAGACTACAACGTGATTGCACTAATAGCTGCTAAAAACAAAATAAAACGAAAAATAAATAAATAAAAATGACTTAGCACAGGAGAAAGAACCCAACCATAGTTATTATAGGGATAGAGAAGATCTGGGTTCAAATTTAGAGGAAGATAATGGAGCTAAAAAAAAAAAGCCACTCCTTTTTCAATGACCTTTTTCAAATGGTCCCAAGCACAAAAACAGTTCTTGGAAGAACTTAAAAAGGATTTTAAAAATCAAATAGGAGAAATTGAGGAAAAATTAGAAAAAAATAAGAATAATCTAAGAATTATGAAAAGAAAGTTAACCAACTTGAAATAGAGAATCGTAAACTTAACAAAGAAAATAATTCCTTGAAAACTAGAATTGGGCAAGGGGAAGCTAATGACATTCAAAGAACCAGAAAATCATTAAAAAAAAAATTGAAAGAATGAAAAAAATAGAAGAGAAAGTGAAATATCTCATCAGAAAAATAACTGATCTGGAGAACAGATAGAGGAGAAATAATATAAGAATAGTCAGACTACCCTGAAAATTACGATAAAAAAAGAATCTTGATATAATATTACAAGAAATTATGAAGGAAAATTGCCCTGAAGTTCTAGAACAAGAAGGCAAAGCAGAAATAGAAAAAATCCATCAACCAACGCCTGAAAGAAATCCCAGGAGGAAACCTTATAGTAATATCATAGCCAAATTTCCAAGCTCCCAGGTTAAGGAGAAAATATTGGAAGCAACAAGAAAAAAAATTTAAATATCATGGAGTTACAATAAGGATTACATAAGACCTAGCAGCTACTACATTGAAGGACCATGGGTCTTGGAATACTATATTCCATAGAGGAAAAGAGCTGGGGTTACAACCAAGGGTAACTTATCCAGCAAAGTTAAGTATAATCCTGAATGGAAAAAAAAAATGGACATTTAACAATTCAAAGGCTTCCAGGTTTTTGTGACAAAAAACCCAGAACTTAAGGGAAAATTAGACATATAACACCCAGGAGAAATATAAGGTAAACACTGAAGACAAATTATAAGGGACTCAATAAGGTCAAATGGTTTATTTTGTATATGTGAAAATAGCAGTATGATTGTCATTATTATTTCAGGAGTTTGAAAGAAAGTCTTGGGCTGAGCTGGGTATGACAGAGTGATTCTAAAAAAATGAAAACTATGTAGGGACAGATAAAAAGAAGTAATTATCTCATGCAAATGAGGCATGAAAGGAAAAACTGATACAGAAGAAGCTAATAAAGGGGAGGACAGGTAATGCTGGAACCTTATTCTCATCAGGAACGGGTTAAAGAAGGAAATTCATATGTATATATATATATATATATATATATATAATATATATATATATATATATATATGTATGTATATATTATAAAAGTCTTCTAACTTCAAAAAGAAATAAGAGGGTAAGGGTAGAGGGAGAGGATAAGGGAGGGCCTCTTACAGGGGTGGGTAGGTTAAGGAATAAAAGGGCAAGGTAGCAGGTAGAAATAAAGCAGAGGTGTGAGGACAGATAGGGTAAATAGGATGAGAAGGATAGTGAGGAAAAATAGGAAAGAGGAAAATAAGTAATTGTAGCTTAGAATGAGAATGGATCAAATTTACCCATAAAACAGAAATGGATAGCAGATTAAAAATCTGAATCTGACAATATACTGCTTTCAGGAAACATAAAAATGAGAGATACACACAAAGATAAATATAGGACAGGAGTAGAATTTATTATGTAAAAAAAGCAGGACAGTTTGGTGGCACAGTAGATAGAGCACCGGCCTTGGAGTCAGGAGGACCTGAGTTATTAGCTGTGTGACCCTGGGCAAGTCATTTAACCCCAATTGCCTCGCCAAAAAAAAAAGCAAAGGTAGTAATCATGATCTCAGATACAGTTAAAATTAAAATAGATTTAACCAAAAGTAAAAAACAGAGAAACTATATTATGTCAGCAACATTATTCAACATTGTTTTAGACCATTTAAAATACCGAGACAGTATAAAATACCTGAGTATTTACTTGCCAAAACAGACACAGGAACTATATGAACATAAACACAAAATACTTTTTTATACAAATAAACTCAGATCTAAAGAAGTGAAGTAATATTTATTGTTCATGGGTAGGTAAAGCCAATATAATTTTTAAAATTACAATTTTACCTAACTAATCTATTTATTTAATATCATCCCAATTAAATTACTAAAAAATTATTTTGCTGAGTTAAAAAAAGTAACAAAGCTCATCTGGAAGAGCAAAAGGTCAAGAACTTTAAAGAAACAGTAAAAAAAAGAAGTAAAGGAACAGATTCAGCAGTATCAAACCTTAAACTATATTATAAGGGAAAGAATTGTTGAAGTATAAAAAAGGAGTCAGAGTAAAGCCAAGAGCAGAGGTCAGGGGCAGGCCACAGGGAAGAAAATGCCCAAACTATGATAGGAAATACACAAACTATGAGGATAAAATATGAAGTGGACAATTATGATTACTTTAAAATTTTAAAAAATTACACAAAGTTAAATTGGGGGGGGGGAAATATTTGCAGTAAGTTTCCCTGATAAGGTCTAATATCTAAGACATATACTCTGAGCCCTTCATCTCTCTCACCTCTCTAGCAGGAGATATGCATAAGGTATAAGCTATTGGTCTATACTTAGTATCTGCTAGACTGCTTTCTAGTTTCCCCAACAGTTTTTGTTAAAAAAAAAAATGAGCTAGTCAAGATTATCCTAGTCAACCACATGACAGCCCATATTGGCTGCTTTGATGTGGATGGCTGTTATGACTCGCTCGAACCTGTTCTCCTACATATTAATCCTCAAGGTTGTTTGGCCTCCAGACTTTGTTTGTGATTGAAATGATTACTTTTTTTTTTTATTGCTGCTGAGGACCAACGGCCATTCTCAAACAAAAGAGACCCAGTGTCTCTTGTCTGTTCCCAGAGGATCATTCTCCTCTTTGCTTCTAGCTGAGGCTGCCAAGACTTCTTGGTATTAATAAATAGCTTGAATGTAAGCTTCTGAATGGAAACTCTACCATCCTTTAGCTTCAGCCTGAACTCTGAGATGCCAACTTTCCCTCCCTCCCTGCTTTACCTTCATCAAAAAACACTCACCAATATTATTTCTTTAGAAAAAAAATGAATTTTTGTCCCAATAACTGAGATCTCTGAATTTATCAAACACTAGGTCACTATGCCCATTTACTTCTGTGTATTATTTACCTGATCTTTTCCATTGATCAAACTTTCAATTTCTTACCCAGTACCAAATTGTTTTGATGATTACAGATTTAAGATATGCTATTGCTAGGCCTTCTTTCTATCCACTTTTTTTAATTAACTCTCTTAATATTTGCTCCTGCAGATACATTTTGTTACTATATTTTCTAGTTCTACAAAATAATCCTTTGGTAGTTTGATCAATAAGGCACTGAATAAGTAAACTAATTTAGGTAGCATTGTAATTTTTAGTATATTGGCTTGGTGTATCCATAATCAAGTAATATTTCTCCAATTAGTTAGATCTGTCTTCATTTGCATAAAGAATGTTTTATAATTGGGTTTACATAGTATATCTTGTCAAGTAGACTCACAAGAATTTTATGCTTTCTACAGTTATTTCAGACGGCATTTCTCTATCTCTTCCTGCCAAACTGTTGATAATATTCAGAAATGCTTATGATTTATAAGGGTTGATTTTATATACTGCAACTGTGTTGAAGTTTTTAATTGTTTCATTTGTTTTTAGTTGAATTTCTAGGGTTCTTTAGGTAAATTATGTAATCTGTAAAAAAAGCAATAATTGTGTTTCCTCTTTAACTATAATTACTCCCTAAACTTGTTTTTCTT